TCCCCAGGATACACCGAACCCCTCTGTGTAAGTCAGCTGTAATTCAAGTATCCTTTAACTAATAACCTAAGCAAACACACCAATATTGGCGCAGATATAAATGTGGTAGGAGTTAGTTGTTCACTGCTAAAAAAAACGTTGTGTTTGTTTTGGTGGAGCTGGGCAGCAACTGTTTTCTTTCAAAAAGTTAATTATTAAGCCAGGTCTGGAGACCAAACTGCTCACGTTTCAAAGGCTTAGGAGATGATCCTCCGGCCGTCCAGTAAAAACATTCAAAACAAAGTCAGATTTGTTTTACTAAAACAACATAAAAAAGTTTTCTTGCAAACTTCAATCTCTTCAGTACTGAAGCAATGTGCATTATCAGGACTTATCACCAACTCCCCCGGGAGAGGGGCTATGCAGGCTGACTACAAATCCAATTAGCCTTAAGTGTAGAGGGCTCAGTGCCCAGAAGACATGTTTTTCAGCTCCTGACCTGAACTATCGACCTCCCAAATTAATTTAATGGAGACCTGTTTACAAAGAAACAAAACATAATTAAAATATCTATTGGTGAAGACAGAATAAATAGTTAAAAAGCTAAAAGACAAAACTTTGGTCTGACATTTGCCATGGGTGTTTTTGTCTGTCCTTACAGTACAGCTCAAGTCGTCCCTCCTCAACTGAGACTGCCCGCCTAGGCAGCAGGAACAACAGCGTGTCTTCCCACACCAGGCTTGAGCGTGACCTACGACCTTCGTCACTGCGCTACTCCTCCCCGCAGCGCAGCTCCCACCTCCAGCCTGCGGAAAGCGCAGTGCGATCTCAGGTCTACAGCACACCCTACTCTGCTCTGCATCGTGCCAGCCCCCAGCGGCTGGAGAAAGCTCCACTTGTAAAGGTAATTCAGTCTGGCGTCTAACTTGCTAATATTCCCATTGAGAGTGCTGACTTATTTTACATGTCATGTGAACAGTAACTAAAATAGGCACAACCAGTAGGCTTAGAAAGGTCATGTAAATGGTGTTAACAAACAGGGTAATGGAAGCATTTCAGCAGATTGAGGTTGACAGATAAATCTTCTTCATGGTACAGTGATAAAAGGTCTATGAAAAACTTAAGCCACCAATCAGAGGAAATTTGTATCCACATATTCTTATGACAATTTGGAGTTCAGTTTTTATACACAGCCGTGACAGCTGCATTTGATTTGTGAGACAACAGATTGCTGTCACACCAGCACTGCTGCAGATCATGACATGGCATGGGTCCAAAACCTGTATTTGGTAATATGATCATACACTGTGGCTTATGTGATGGCCTTCTTTGAACTACGTGAGAGAGAGAGAGACAGATAGAGACAGAGGGAACATTTATTTTCATCTTATCGCTTGGTGTTTAAAACTTTGAATCTTTTGTGATCAGTCCAACAGCTGGAGCACCCCTCAGACATCCTTGAACGTCTCACTGAACACCCCCCAGCGCCACTCGGACATGTGCGCCCCCCGACAGCCCTTGTCACCCCTGTACGATGAGCCCTGCAGCCCCGAAATCTACTCCTTGGATAAGGCCAGACCAGTGGTAAGTGGGTCAATGATTCTGGATTACTGGATTTATAGACTCCATTTACACCTTCACAGCCTGTACAAGATAAAGCAGTGTACAACCTCAAACGCACACTTTCAGTTAACATCATTGCTGTTGATGCAGAAAAGTGTTAAAGAAAAGAGCTGAAAAATGTGGGAGGGCTCATACACTACTAAATGTAATTCCAATTTGTTAAATAAATAAGAAATATGTTGACCAAAATGTATCATAGCAGCTTTATCCTTTTCCAAGATCCATTTTACTAAATGGAGAAATTATCGTGATTGTTCATCATCATATTATCGTTGGTCATTATTATCATTATAAGGTCAGCTTAATTTGGATTGGTTGAAAAAGCAATTTTTTGCATGACAAATTACCTCAACTAATCAAATTATACTTGCAGCTCTACTTATAGCTTCATACTCTGACACATCTTATTCTGTTCTTCAGCAGCAGAGCTGGCAAGAGCCAATTCAGCACCACCAACATCAGCAGGGCCCCCAGCTGCTACCCTCCTCCTTCCAGCTCCACACCCCTCCCATGGGCAGGCGCTGCAGGAGAAGCCTGATCCTGACCAATTCCCAGGGACAGGCTCTGGGCCTGGAGATGGAGACTCCTCAAAGCCAAGCCGAGCAAAGAGCAGAGGCCGTGTCAAGGCTAAAGCTGCTGCCTGTGCCCAGCCAAGTTCAAGAGGAGCAGGTGAGAAACACATAGAAACTCCCAGAACACTCTGGTTTCTGGAATGCTTTGGCACAAAGTGCAACAGCAATGCACTGTATGGTAGCAGCGTGTGTATATACTTGATCTGCAGATAATATTTGAACAGGTGCCACAGATGAAACAGATATTTTTGGGAATGTGAGAATGTTTGTTATACATGATCACAGGAAGTAACTTTCTATTGTTTTCACATCTTTTCATAGATTCACTTCTCGTCAAGCTCTGCAAGAAACGCCTCCCAGATGCCTTGTGGTTACTCACCAGGTAAGAACTGAAAGCATGCAATCATAAAACTGACAATAATTCCTCTGTTTATTATTAGTGTGCAGAGTTCAAGTATGATTATAAGTTATGACAGAAAAACCATCCATCTTGTCAGGAAAAAAAAGGCAGTGCTTTCTTTTCTTGACACGTCTAAACTAAATTTTGATTTCTATTGAAAAACAATGGGCAGCTATAACACTACATCCACACTTCTTCACAAGTCTGCATTATGATTACCATCACTAGCAGCCACCTTTCAAAATAGCAACAAGGACACAGGGCATAGCTCACACTCCTTTACACCTTAAATCAAACACTGTATGCACTTCGGACTGATTGAACTCTTGGGGCTGTCAGCAGATAGACAGAAGGCCAAAGGCTACTAAATTGGAAACGCAGGAAATGTGCCAATGAAACGGTGCTTAGAGCAGCTCCAAATGCCATTGTGCAGATGTCCCATGTGGTGGAAAGCCAAGTATAAGAGAGCACTGTTTGACAGACAGGGTTTGCTCCTGCACTGTTATGCACGGCACACAACTTTGTAGGGTTACGAGCGTATCTAAAGACTCATATAAAATAGAACAAACTACTAAAACTTACCTGGCTATTGAAGGTGACTTTGATTTATTCTAACATGTGCAAGGACCCAATTAAATAGTCTGATAGTTGCATGTTTCTGCACCATTAGAAAGAGAACATTCATAACAAATGAAGGTAGTGACGTGTGTGGCAAGTTACACTACTAGTTTTACAGTGAGATTATATTTTGCCAATCACGCCATACATATGTTGGGAATGTATCCAAGTTTATTTCGTTGGGGCGAGGTTTGTCTTGCATTGTTTGAAACTAAAAGTCTGTGAATCTTCTCTCGCTCTTATAGATCATCACTCGTACCTTGAACCCACAGAACCAGATGACCAGGAAATGGACTATGACAACATTTGGGAGTACGACTGTAATGCTGGTATGATTCAGCCAGCGTCTGGAATTTCGACACACTGGGCAGGATTAGACTTTGGGGCCAGAGGTATTGGCGCCATGGCAACCCAGCAGAGATGGTCATAAAACAAAACAATAGCCCGGCACTCGTCTGGACGTGTGCAAACAACAGATCTCTATCAGAGGGATAATAAAAAGCCAACTAACACAGCCAGTGTTGCTCCTGCTGCATACAGTATGAACCAACAAATCCCACGAACTGCATTATTAGAGGCTGGGTAGTCAGGCGGAGTAACAAAAGTGCAGGAATGAAGAGGAACAGGCTTAACACAAAACTTTATAAAAGTGATAGACAGACTTCAACTGTATGTTTGATATGTAGCATCCAAGAAAAAGGACACAAGTGTAGAAACGGTTTATGTTAATTTTGTATATCTTGCATAACTGCACAAAAGGTTTCAACTTTATGCAGTCCTTTTTTTATATTTAAAGTATTTTCTAACGTGTACAGTTTACTTATTGTACTTTTTTTATTTAGTTTGTATAAAAAGCATTCCACCAGGGCTTTTTATAGTAAACGATGTACATTTTTGTAAATGTTGTATATTTATTATTTTATTATGCTATTTTCAAGGAAAACATGGCTTAAAGGAGTGCCTTATTATGTGCTGACATTACCAGCACTACTACTGTACTGTGTTGATACCTGTGTGGCTTCCTTGTTTTATTTTTGTGTGAGGTGTTTATTTATATTTGAAAATAAAACTGGAAAAAATGATCAACACATTTATGTCTGTTTTTTCTTATTCTAATGAAACTCCTAAACGTGCTACAACAATGCATATTTGTATACTGTCAGGTATCAAATGACATGATATTAATATGTATCACAACATACAGGTGATGATATGTTAATGCACAAATGTGTTCACAACTCGTTTTCCAATACTTCCAAAAATACATTATCTAATGTTTAAATTGTAGTATATAAATAGAGGAGGTGCATCAAATAATGGCCAAGATTTTCAAGTTGGACATAAAGCAAACACTGTAGATCCCGCATGGTAATGACATTAACTATTTTCAAGATTGCATCAAAAATCTAATCAGTTTGGTGTCTTTTTCTGACAGAATACAGCTCCATAGGTTGTGCTCTGCTGCATTTTTAAATTATATTTTATTGCTCAACTTTGCCATCTGCTGGAGAAAGATATTTATGAATCCTGGAGAGGACAGTATCTCAAGTGAAAACTGAGCAAAAACGTTAAATAAAGACATTAACACACATATTATGATAATTAATATCTTGTTCTAATATTTGTGGGATAAAATGAATTTATAGAATGGCAACTAGCTTTTCAGCTGTATTAGTTCAAGTTCTTACTTGAACGTTGCCCTCTAGTGTTTCAAAGTCTCAACTTCAGGTCTGAGTATTATTGTAAAACATAAGAGATTGCACGCTACGACGATAGTATTTACTGTAGTAAACTCACATTCATCAACATCTTGCAGAACAGTCTTTATCAGAAAAAGTTGTACAGCCATCCAAAAAAATACAATCAACATGAACACAAAATGTCCTTCATGAATTACATAACGGAATATGTTACGTTTATTAGTATGTTTTGATTAATTCCCATTTTGGAAATCATTCTGATAGATAGTCACCATTTTAATTTGTAAAAGAAATGTTCAATATTTTCATTGTAATATTTTACACAGTAGTTTTGGAAAAAAATTCACCAGCTAAAATAATGGAACGGGATAAAAACAAACCATCCTAAACGCTTCAAATGCCTTAAGTTAATCATTTTATCACATTTCCATCTAACATCCTAACTCTGTGCAGCGAATTTACCTTTAATCTCTCTTCAGTACGCACATACTGAAACCTTATTTACACATATCTAGAGCTTTCTTTCTGATAAATACACATCTGGTCTTGCCTTTGGTCTTTTCATATCTACTATGAATGCTTTCAGACGTTAAAGGTCAAAATAACAGACAAATTATTTAAATGAAACCCTTGCCCATATCCATTCAATGGTAGGGTTAACTTAACAAGAAGCAATTATAGTGCAAATATGTAATGCAAACATTTAACAACACAACCACATCAAGAATCAGACGGGGCTGTGTACTTCAATTTCTTCTCACTTGTTGCAGCCTCCATCTTGACGTATTTACGCAGGTATCTGATGGCTGTCAGAGCACTTACATTTGCCAGCAGAACTGTGTGAGATTACATATTAAAAGTGAGAAATCAGCTTAATCATGAGACTTTGAGTCCAAAGGAAAAAAACGTATGTAATGCTATATATAATCAGACATACCAGTCTTCCATGTGTCTCCAACTTGTGGGTTTGCCGTCTTTAGCACCCACGAAGCAAATGCAATACAAACCAGACACATATCGGACTGTCTTAGAGGCAGGAGGGAGGCATCCAGCCCTAAGAAGAAAGTGAAAGTAGCCTATCATGGAAAACATTTTAAAATATTAATTGTGTCACATACATTTAAAATAACCAGTCACAGAGCAGTCCAGTAAAAAGGTCAAGGGTATAATACTTGTCACTGACACTGCAACAGCTGAGCACCATGCCCTTGATAATAGGAAGGGATTTCCTGTTCTGTCACACTGTGACTCAGTCAAATCCTAGCCCCTGCACAGATTACTTTAATGCAAACATACAACGCTAATTATTGTTACTGATATTTTATAATATGATTCTAGTGGCCTTAAAGAACATTCTCACAGGCAGCTACTGAACATGATGTGGTATATTAGTAGCGTGTAGGTTATTATCTTAATTACAGCTCAGTGGAAGTTCAAGAAGAGGGGTTTACATATAGACACCTCAAGTCGAGGTACTTTGTTTTTCCTTTGCAGCCAATCAAATCTAGAGCTCTTTACTGACAGCTTAGGGAAGACACTCATTAAGTGAAGTCAAGTTATCACGCACAACACAAACCTCTTTGTTTTCACTGTTACTGCCTGCAGTCTCGTCCTTGTCCTCTGACAGCTGAGGTTAGAGATATGATGCCCCGACTCTAACAGCTGACTTAGAGGATGACATGTACTACATTACAACTGTCCATTTGTGCTAAAAGCAAAAAGAGCTTAACTAATAGAGGTAAATACATTAGTTATTAAATGTGTATGTTTATATATGATTCAAATTCAAAGATATCTCTGTAAGTTTGGTTTGTGTCTGTGAAACTGGTCAATAGTGGTAAACCAGTCTTCAGATTGATATACACTACTTTTAAGCCTAGAAATTTGAACTTAAAAAAGGGAAAATTAAAATGTTCCATGGCAATAATAAACATCACCCGTTGACCAGTAATTTATTTTTACATTTGTTTGCTTACACTGTAGGACTGTATTGTGCAAACTTTAGTCATTTAATACTGCCTCTTGTCGTGTTGATTACACACACATTCTCTTCATCATCAAAACCCTACATTTCGCCTACATTACCCACAATGCAACTACAGATAGCCACCAGCGAGCAATAAGCAGAGATGTTAAGCAGGCTACAGAACTGTTGTAAGATTACTTCTTTCTTTCTCCACACCCCCAGATTTTTTAATGTTCAAACCTGTAGTCTTTAACTGCAACTTGTTATGTGCATTAGCCTGTAAACAGACTTTGATGTGTATAATAAGTGCAGCTCCCCTTTATATCAATTCAAGCGTGATAGCAAATCTGAGAACTTTTGAAAGGAGAAAGTGTTTTAATCACCGATTGACTTACTTGGATTTGAAACAGTCATCTGTAAGTCCTCAAAACTGAAAGGCTGATGCCTTAGTTGTGTGTAGATCCTGTTGTCCAGGTGGTGGATAAGTGGATCAGCCAACATGATGTCTTGATTTCCGAAAGCATTTATGGGATGAACTATCCTTCCAATGGATCTGCCACTTTGACTCACAGGTACACTAGATAGAGGGTTTGAGAGAGTTTCCTTGTGAACAGTGCATTTAGTCAAACTCATATTCCTAAAGGACAATGTGGTATTCCAAAAGAAATTCTGTCTGAGATCTCCATCAGTGAAGAAATGTTCATATATGTCTGTAGAAATCTGAGAGGCGCTAGTTGTACGGCTGAATCTGCTCACCACCCTCACAGGACTGCAGCTATCTTCTCCATCAGATTCCCCAGAAGAATCATCAGAAGAAGAAGATGCAAAGAAGTGCTCATAGGCCTCTGGGAACTGCAGATCTCTAGTAGCTGAGTGAGAGTAGGAAAATATAGGAACCAGCTCGTTATTGGTGATGAGAGGGTAGAAGAAGCTTTCTGTATCAAACTCTGAGAAGAAATGATCATAAGTTTCAGGGACAGAATTTCCTTCACTGTAGGAGGTGGGGATGTTATCTGTGGCTGAGTGGCTGGGAATTGATGGCTTTCCACCAAAGACATACTGAAATATATTTGAGAGAGACACTTTGTAGCTGTCTGTTGGAAATGAAGATAAAGAGTCCAAGTGTTTGTCTTGCTTAGGCATGTGTCCAACACTGTGATGCTCTTCTTGTTGGAATTCTCCTTCGTCTACCGTTTGTAAAGTTGGGCCTTTCCTTTTGTAGCAGAAAGACTCATAATTAAGGGCATGTAGATTGTCAACGCTTACATTTTTTGACATTTGTCTTAGGCATGTTTGAGAACCTGCAGGGAAGACCGGTTGAGAAGTGTCACCAGCAGATGTCAACGTCATATTTTCAGGGTAGATATCAGCCTCTAGACTCTCCCACATAACATCACTTGAAGATGAAGAATCTTCCCCTATAACAGAACTTGATTCTGCAGGGTTAGGATCACTGGATATGTCTTTATTGGTTTGTTCAGCCTTGGACTCTTCAGGATGAGTAAAAATGCCTGAATCTGTCATAGCAGACATGTCCGTCTCCTCACTTTCCTTGAGAGGTGGGAGTGGGCTGCGTGGAACACCATTTCTGATCATTCGTAAACCAAGAATATCATTTATTGTCAACTTCTCCATCTCACTCCAAAAAGAAGACATAGCGAATACTGAATGTTTTGATGCCTTTTCAAGTTCGCATTTTGCTTCAGATACTGTGATGACGTCTTCTGCTGTGTCCATTAAATCACATTTTGAACCTATCGAGTCATGTGATATATACCGGTCTTTGGAATCAGATGTGCCATCTCCTTCCTCGTGTTTGGACAGTATTAGTGATGTTTTTATGCCTTGATCTTCAGGGTCATTTTGATTGACAGATAAACAAGAACTTCCTGAAATGTCTGTGATATTTTCATGTGAGAGTGACATGACAGATTTGGTGTCAAGAGTGCAGCAGGATGATGCTGGTATAGTATCTAAATGACTTATTAGTAAGTCTTTTGACATGGATGGTTTGGTTGAATTAATTTCAGCAGATTGTGATGCTCCTAATTCAGTTCGGTCACTTGTGTTTTTCTCTAACAAACCATCACATTTGGATAATGTGTGGAGCAACCGGGCATATTCTGTTTGCTGTGCTATAATATTTATATCTGAACTGGAGGGACTTTCAGACTGATCATGATTATCAGGCTCATTGCTGGTATCTAATGATGATTTAGCACAGCCCACTTGACTGGAAATCTCCAAGAAGGGGCAGCCACTAGTTTCTAATTTCTTACATTTTGTGGTGCGTGCATCAAAACTGCTTGCAGACAGTGGAAAGTGAGTATTTTCCAGTGTAGATCTATATTGGTCTATGTCACAGTCAATTTCCAGCTGTTGTTGGGCCTCAACCTCTCTTTGACACAGTGTGTAGTTGTCTCTGCCAGAATTTCCGGCCTCTACAGCCAGGACCGACTTAGCAGCGGATAGTTTGTCATTTTGGCTGACTTCCACCGCAGGATTATCTGACTCTGCACTTGGTAAAATGCTTATTGATTTGACCTCTGCTGTACAAGATCCTAGATTTGGTTTATTTTCATTAAAAATATAATTATTGATTTCATTAGACTGCCTGATACTCCTTGCTTGAATATCCTGCCTTTCACAGTTTGCTGTTTCTATTGCCAAGGTTGATATACCAATTACAGTGTTAGTAATTGAATCTGGCAACACAGTTGAATCTTCTGCATGTAATTTGCTACATGGCTGTACATTTGTTGCCACATTACCACTGTTGTTTGATGGTAACAATACGGTTTCTACAGTTTGACTCAGGGGGTCTATTGACCTATTATTAGGTACATTATTTTCAGCCAAACGTGTTGCTTTAAACTTTCCTTTTCTGACAATGCTTTCTTTTGAATATTGATATTGACTGTCAAATGATGGAAAATCATTTACTTTGATATCCTTAGGAGAAATCTTCACTGGGAGATGTCTGGTGGCTGAAAGTGGAGTTAAAGAGGATAAAACACTTCTTCGTCGTTGGTTTAAATAAGATAAATTAGTATTTTCAGATAAACAGAAACTAGTTCTTTCTCTCCACGCGACCTGTTCCTCCTCTGAGTCACTCGGCTTCACTAACTCCTGCATCTCATATTTATGCCCAATATCAGCTGGCTCAACATTAAGTCGTCTCTTCCTTCGTCTTTTTCTTTTGAAAGAAGCAGATGGAGACAATTCTTGGCTCGCTGTTGTTGCGTCTGACTGTAGAACTTCTGGGTTTACATTCGGTTTAACTGGTGTCACTATTTCTTGATTATTTGAAGGATCAGTGCTACACTCTTTACTGAGACTTAATTTACTCATCAACAAATCGTCCTGCTTCACATCATCCAGAAGTGTGCACATTTCCGCCTTTATCACTTTGTCAGCGTGAGGTGTTGTTTCTGAGCATAAAACCCCCTCCAGTGTGTCTTGAGACTGATTCAGCCGTGTTGCTTCGGTGATTATGGTTTCTGTGCAGGCTTCCTCTCTGATGAAGGAACCTGTTTTGGGGTAAGCTGATTTCTTAGTCTTGAGCACTACGATACTGGCTGCATGTTTAGTGGAAAGGTTCGGACCAGGCACGTCTTTTTTCATTGTGTTTATTTTGATAATGGTGTTGACAGGACTTGTGGTCTCTTTGCCAACTGCTGTTTCACCGCTGGCAGGAAGAGAACTTAACTTAAGGATGTGTTTTGGCAAAAATCTGCTGCTGGCTTGTTGCCCGTCACTACTCCGCTCCTCCTCCTGTATTGCCTCCTGTTTTTTTCCATCTCGCTCTTGGTTTGGCTCTATAAGCCTTTCTGCCTCTGTAAGACTTTTCAGCTTTTCAAAGAATATATTGACAGACTGCAGGTGTATGTCCTCCTCACTTCCCGAGAGCACGCTCTCCATTCCACCGATGGGGTGGTTACTGAGGTAGTGCTCCACAGGAGAGCCCTCACAGTCTGGTGGGCCATCGATGGGGCGGTCAGCCTCTGAAAAGCTTGCTGTTAGGTCGACTTTCTGAACTCTCTTAGCGAGAATGGACCCTGTATCATCAATGTCACTCATCCCTGAGTCGTCCACACCTAATGAAGGAGGAAGTATGCTAGACTCTTCGCACTCAGCAAAAAAGCCTTTCCAGTCACGGTCAGAGATGTCCACACTGTATTCAATGTCCTCCATTTTGACTTAGAGGGTAGAATATAACCTGGAAAAAAAATCAAAACAGAAGCACTATATTTCAAAAGTTATCACTGATAAAAGTAAATGTTTTGTTCTTTCAGGTAATTTGTGAAACATAAAATAAAAAATACTTGATGAATATCAAACACTGTCACAAGATAACGAAAAAAAGCCAATTTTAATTATACACAATTTTACAGCACAATTTAAGATACCAGGGTAGCTTTTTAGTTATGATCTAATATGATTTAATCTGATCTTATCTAATAAAATCAGACTCTCTTCAGAGCAGCAATTAACAACTAGTCAATAAGATGAAACTATCAAAAGTTAATAAAATAAAAAATCTAAGTATTGCAACAGGAAGTATTTATTATCTCTGTATTTCTAGCTGTCTGCCTATGTACTTTTAAATCCATGCAGATTTCCTACCTGTCTTGCTTCAGTTGTGACCCTGCAGAGGTGAAGGTCTACGAAGTCGGTCTTAGTAGCACCATGATGCATGTCCTCGAGTGAGTCCCATGATTTGATAAATATAGAGTGACGCTTCTGACCACGTAATACTCACAACGTTCTTACAGCAACCATCTCCAACAGAGGCATAACGTTTCAGAACTTTAAATAGACTCTCCACTATGAAACTGCTTAACTGGATAAAAGGTATATCAGATGTTGCTATTGTTTCATTGGTACATAAATCTGATATATTACTGATCTAGGTTATACTTATTTGTAGAATGTGTTTTTTTATTAACTCTATATCTGCGGGCTCCAATAACAGTCAGGCCCTCTTCAAGTATGGGGCTGATATGAAGTGTGTCAGTTAGTCGATACCTCACTGCTTTGAAGTCATGGCGTGACACTGGATCTGAATATTTCCAGAAGCTGCAAGAGGCCAGAACGATGGAGGGATGTGACCGGAGCTGCATCGTGTGAGGTTCCTGTGATTCCCCTTAACCTAAATGCGGATATACATCTTAATTTGCGAAAATGTATTCTACTATCTAAAATGTGGATTATGGATTAACATGTTGTAATTGAGGGGTTCATTCATTTTTAAAGTCCCCTTTCAGTCAAAAATGTATTTTTCTAATTCTGACTTCACTTTGATATTCGACCGTCAGTGCAGAATGATGAATGGGTTTGAAACTAGAAGGCTGTTTTCACATTCTTCTGCTGCAGGGGAAAGGTCCTCTGTGCTCAACTCAAATGTCAGACATGTTTAACACGCGTATACACCAACATAACTCTGTGACATCATACAGAGTTTTGATGCGTGATGTGTAAACTTACAGTCTGTACACTTCAACTGTGAATGGACTTTTCTGTATAATAGGTGATGGCTTGTATAGAAGTTTTCTTTTTTTAATAGTTTTTTTTTCAGAAATTCTAGATTTTGGAACCTGTTAGTAAACTTTGAGTAAACTCATAGTCGACTTTAAACTGTAAATGTTAGTATGTCATTGACAAAATTGTCGATCACTAGAATAAGAATCAAAATCTGGAACTGTTAATGTTCAGTAGCTTTTAATTAATAGATTGTGGCCCAGGTGGCCTGCAGCAAAAGTTTATAATCACTGCTTTACAACAAAGCAACCCAAACAAAAAGCTTTCATTACAGTCTCTAAACTCTTTTTAAAATATGCCTTATTAAAAGGCAGCAACCAAAAGTCCAATGAAATCAGAATTGTATATCAAGCTCATATCACCTCGAAGTTGTTTTTTGGAGAATTTCTATTGTAAAAATATTCATGTTTTATTTTACTATACTTTCCTGCACATTTTTACTTCATTTGTGATCTTCCTCCTGTCTGCTTTTCATTTGATATGCCAAAACTTGAGTGGGTCAATCATCCTGATATGCAAGTTTACTTTGTCATTTAAATCTAACAAAAGAACATTCTGGTGACCATTGAGAGAAACACATAAAATCTTGGGTAACTGAAATGATGGCGCAGATGTCAGGCTACAAAATCGGGCTTATCTTCTGCTTGAATGTGAAATGTACCATTAGGGAGGACAGCTTATCTGTGGAGGTCTTGAGCCTTTGTTTACAGCTATCAGTAAGACTTAGTAAAGACAATGTGATTACGGGTCCATCCATGCTGTGAAAATGTTACTGACACTAAAAGATACAAAGATAACCTATCAGTCCTGATCTCATTATCAACTGTTAAAGTGTACTTAAAAGATGCCTAATGTGCCTTAACTGCAGTTGAATGTATTGAATTACGATGATGGGGTAACATTGGAAATGTAGAAGAAAAATTACCTAACATCATATGATCTACAACATTTTTTTTGTAAATTAGCTATAAGAAAATTAAGAAATGTTCACATCAAAAGTCACACTTTTTGAAACTTGGGAAATTATTGAATTTGTAAAGTAACATATCAAAAAGAGTTTTCTCAAAGTACCGCTCTCCAGTCAGAATTTGCATCTAACACTTTCCCAGGCTGTAGCTACAGCCTTTATTTGCCTAATTTTCATCACTATAGATATTTATGAGAAAAAATACCCTCTAATTGGCCAAACCACAGCCTGGGCTATGTGCCCAAGAGGGCCCTCTCAATTCATCAGCTGTGATAAAGGGAGACAAGCCAGGGCCTGTGTGGCTCCTGCACCTGGGGCAGCGGGCCGTTTTGACACGGGTGGGATTCTGTTTCCATCAACAGGATTAGGCTCTTATGAGTCAGGTCTTGGGAGTAAAGATTGGAATCTGTTTGGGTTGTTTCACACTGGCTAAAGCGACAGAATTTCACCCTAATTGTTTACCATGTCAGCCCCGGCAATTCAACGTCAATTAAACAAAGCCCAGTAAACAGACACATTCAACAGCAGCTCAGTGACATAATGTTTAAACAGAGAGGAGTTTGTGTTTGGTCCCGTTACCAAGCCACCTTGCTTTGTGGCATCGCTTATGTGTGAAACAGGGGTGCAAAGTCTTAATTAAAGCAAATAAAGGGTAGAAACAAAAAACCGTAGACAAAGATTCCTATTATGGATCTTACGGGAGTGTTAAGAAAGGCTGTTTAGCAATATACAAATGCCACACAGGTTGATGTCAAGGAGGCTAAGAGTGAGAAAAGAGTTTAAAAAATGTGAGACGATGAGTGGAAGTAGTTCCAATACACAAAAAAATGAAGTAATGATTAAAAAATAGACTGAGTTTAGAAATACAAAAGTAATCATTTTCAAGCTTAGTTAGAAGACATTGTTTTAGAAAAACATATACAAGTCTGGTACACCGTTCTGTAATTTCTCTTTGTCAGTTGAAATGTGTTGCAGGAACTAAATGGAAAGACATTAATGTAAGGGATGTTGGTTCATCCAATGAACAAAATGTGATGAACCAAACTTGTATTGCAATATTTAAACATGTTAAATGATGATTGATTTGCCTTCTGTAAATATGACATTCACACATTAGCCTACTGGACATTTAGCCTTTTTTTATATCCAATGTCATGATTGTCAAACACTCTTACTGTGGACAGATGTGTTGTAAAATGATATCCAAGGCAAAATATTTGTAATATAATGATCTTCAATCAAAAGGTGGGTAAACTACCTTAATCTGGTGATGAATTAATAACAAACCATGCCCATACCTTTATGCCTGTCTGTGTCAGTTTAACATTATTTAGTTGTGTTGATAACTGGTGCACAAGCAAAAGTGCTCTTTAATATGACATTTGCCTGTTTCAAAATACCAGGAACTAGTCTTGTCCCGCATTTAAAATGGTCTCACCTGTGGCCTGCTGGTTTATCCCATAGTTTATCCTCAATTAAGTGTGAAGCAAGAAGCGCCTGCAGGCCTTCAGGAGGATTATGCATCGTGACAATGGTGAGATTTGATCAGGGGCAATAACACAACGTTATTCTCCTCACCTCAAATGTCACAGGAGACAACACAGAAGTATCAGTGCTCGAGTTGTTTGGGGGTCATGTCAAAATCCAGCACGTCCACTCAGCAGAATTTAGACTTCACATCCAGGCCACTGTACCGAAACTGCGACCTGTTTTTAACAATAAATAGAACCCAGGTCAGTTAATTTCGCCTGCTTGCTACCACAGGCCTATTTAACACTACACTGGTTCCAAGATGGCAACATAACTCTAGTTCTACGACACTATCTTCCATTACATTTATTTTGACACATAAATGAGACAAACGATAGCTTCTGCATTAAAATCCTCAAATAATTGAACTTGAACTGCTTTGGCTGTGTTTATCTTGGGACGGCGTTGAGTGCAGCATTTAATTTCAACCACAAGATGGCGGCCACCGCCAACCAAACTGAGTCGTTATGCAAAAGTGCACACATAAGCTTTCAACTAGGATATAAACAGTGTAATTACATCATTCAGGTATTTTTGCTCGGATAAAGGCAGCAATATCACTGTAGAAAACACTCGATTACTACTAGTAAACATTAGCATGTTCTTTATCAGCAGTAAGTAAGGTAGCATACTGACCGATTGATGAGTAGTATTATTGTGCATTGCATCAGGTCAAGGCGGAGCTAATTTTAATGACGTGATATATTAGTGTACCTTTTACTCTTGCATCATGTTTTTTAGGCAAATTGTACTCCCAATGTTTGAGCTAAGCCGAGGTATTGCAGCCAAACTGACCCCTTTGTTATCGTGCAAGGCTTTCAATCTATAAAGTAACTGAAAGGAAACTGAAACGTATGCTTACAATATGTAATAAAATAAGTAGCTATCATAAAACAAGAATAGTCAAGTAAACTATCAAAACATTATAGGCCTACAGGTTACTTTCATAAGTTTCACTCCTGTAAAGAGGGACAACAGGTTGTATTTCTAGCAGTGTGAACAATCACCAAAGAAAAACTACATGTAAGACCTACACCATTTTTTTTAATGAAGTTTAAATTAAATGTTGTTGTGCATTGAACCTCAACAAATATGATTCGTTTTCTGTAAACCATAATTGTATATGCCAAATGACAGCCCAATGTGTTTGTTCTGTGTAACCAACTTTTTCTTCAGGCTATAGGCTAAACAGAGAATGCAATTCCCCTATCATATTGAACGTTAAAGGCTGTAATGTGATATAATGTATAGAATGTATTAAAAATAAAGCAATGCCACCAGAGCCACACATAATAATATTATATATTATAGCTTCTGCACTTTAACACTGACATATAAATATCTAGGCTATTGGCTTAAAATCAACATGACGAATGTAGGTCTATAATCTTTCAATGTTACATATTTGTTTTGATAGGACACTGAACACGCTTAGTGACAGTTATTAAAACCTAAAGCTGCCAAAAGATAGTGTGCAACGTCCACCATTATGCACACAACCGCATCATTGTACACATTAGCTGGTTTCAAGGTATTTTTGGACCACATACTGGGTAAAAGTGTTCTTTATTTTTCAAGCCCTGAGGCAGTCTGACTGCCCATATCACTAGCTAGTTTTTTCACCACTTCTTTACTTTGTGAAACAACTAAAATGATTGTAAAGTGAA